CCTGCTCCCAGCCCCGGACACCCCTGGGGCTGCCCCCAGCCCTGCGCTCGGGCATCACGCCGCCCGCAGCCTCCTCCCCGCGTGCTGGTGGGCGCTCTGGCTGCATATAAGCCATTGCTCCTTTACTGAGGAGGGGTCTTCCTTCTGTGGACCTCCCCCGAAGATTGTCTTCAGAGACCGAATACGCAGACAATGGCCAGCCAGGCGTAAAGCAGAACTCAGACCCCGACCCACGATGGGTGGGAACCAGCTCAGGCAACCAGACCAGAAACCCTGAATCGGTCGGCCCGGAACGGCCAGGCTTCATCAGTTTGGCAGACTCCCTAAGTTTTGTCCCTGCGCCCAACTCAGGACCAGACAGAGAAACCCCACTGTGCCCCCAGTCAGCCCCATGGGGGACCCCAGTTCTCATCGGTGCCTCCAGCTCCCCCAGGCCCACAGCCCCCATCAGGGCACAACCAGAACCTCCCCTTTTCCACCACGAAGCCCCCCAACTCCTCTGCCTGTTTTGGGGTCTCGCCAAATGCAGTGATGGTGGCCGACACCCTTGCCGCGTTGAGCTCTGAGTTAATGGCCTTTGCCTGCTCTCGTGTGCACGTGTGTGTGTCCTTTAGTTCCACAGTTCACACACTTGCTCACCGGTGAGTAACATCTGTGTTCTGTCTGGCTCAACTACGATGAACAAAACCACTGAGAACATGGGGCGCAGATCTTCGCGGTGCTGCTGTCTTCTGCTCCCTGCATTTGCCAGGCTGGTGCCTGCTTTGAACTGGCTCTAAGGCTGGGTGGGCTCTGGGGTCCTGGGGGCCACAGCCGGGTCCTCAAAGAGACGAACCAACTCCCTCCCCTGGGGTTTTGGGCTGGCCCCAGCCCCCTGGGGGGCCCCCCGCTGATGCTCAGCTTCCCCATCTTGTGACCGTGGACCTCCTCGCTCTCCGTCCTGGAGCTCTGGAGCAGACTCCCTTTCCTGAGCGGGGTGCAAGTCTGGGGAGGACTTTGCCGGGCGGTGCTGAGCACGGCGCCTTTTTGGGAACCGCGGTCCCGGCTGTGGCTGGCAGCCCCTCCCACCCCAGGACCCCCTTCTGAGCATCTTGTTCTCCTGGGCACCACTCTCTGTCCCTCTGTCCCCACGAAAGCCAGCCTGCGCCTGGCCATTCTGCCCCAAATTAGGACACTTACTGATTTTTGGAGGACTTAATGCTGCCCTGAGAAGTAAAGTTAATGATTTTCAAAATAGCTTCCCTGCCGATAACCGACAGGCTCCCTTGGCCCAAGATGAATGTGAAGAGGAATTCAAAAGCATCTGTTTTCCCAGGAGACAGATTCCTCATTGACACATTTTTCTCCTCTTGAATTTCTCCCCCGTTTCCGAAATGGAGCCTTCTCCTCGTCCTCTGTGCACAGAGCTGGGCTCCGGAGAGACAGAGTCTGCTTGTCGGCCTGTCCTTGTGTCTCTGTTCTCGTTTCCTTGGGTCCCCCAGACAACAGGGCTCTTATCCGATGGGCTCTTGCCGGAGGCTGCTCCTCTCCCCTCGGGGCGAACACAGAGAAAGGCTGCCGCTGAACGAAGCTGGGAGGGCCGGCCCCCAGCGCACCCGCGACGGGAGGACGGGGTGGGCCGTGCTGGAGGCGGCCTTCCATCTCTGCGCATGACTTTTGGAGGTGCGGCCATTCACTAGTTCTGTGATTTGCATCAACCTGCGTCTTCCGTCCCAGAGAACAAGAGTCTGTTTCCCAGAGGGAAGCCTTCCCAGTGTCTCTGTGCCCTGCGCTCCCGGCAAAGCCCACGTCGGATGAGGGGCATCAGGTCTCACGGACATTGTCACACCAGCAAGGAAATCACCTTGAACGCTCAGCAGCTGCCCCCAGCCACCCTGGCTCTGGGACACACATGCCACTTGCTGTTGTGAAGAAAGCAGAACGACTCGGAGCCCCAGGTTTGGGGCTGGGGGTCCTGTTCCAAGATCAGTGGTAGTTTCTTTTCTCTGGTGGCTACTGGGCACTTCTGTTTAGGGGACCCCAGGCTCACTCCATTTCGATTATTTCCTTCAGAGCCTGTTTAGACCCTTCAGAGGCACTGGGGGTCCCGGAATCCTTATAGGTTGCATGAGGGCCCTTATAGCAGACCCTTCGTCTATTCACCACCACATCCATCCATCCCTCCCTCCCTCCCTCCCTCCGTTCATCTGTCTGTCCATCTGTCCACCAGTCCATCTATCCATCCTTCCATCCATCCACCCATCCCTCCATCCATTCATCTGTCTGTCCACCCATCCAACCATCCATACATCCCTCCCTCCCTCCATTCATTCATCTGTCCATCCATCCATCCCTCCATCTATTCATCTGTCCATCCATCCATCCATCCCTCCATCCATTCATCTGTCCATCCATCCATCCATCCATCCACCTATCCCTCCATCCATCCATCGATCCATCCATCCATCCATTTGTTCCCTCATTTGTTTGTGCAACCTGCCTTCTACTGAGTGTGTTTCAAGCCAGTCTTTGGGGACAGAGAGATAAATCAGGGCACTTTCCACCTTCTCAGCCCAAGTCCAGTGCACGTGATAGTCTCTGATTTACACATGCAGGAGCCCCTGCGTCTCTTGGGGGCTGAGACGTGGTCTGTGGGGGGAATCTCTAAAGCTTTGGGGACAAGGGGGTTGCCGCCCAATTTCTGACACATAAGCTTATTTTCTTTTTGCCTCGTGCACCTCGGGGAGGGCCATGCTCCACTGGGGCGTGGGTGGGTTTTGTCAGAGAGGCACCTTGTCCGACCACTTTGGGAGTGGCCGCTGGGAGGATCAGCCGCTGGTGGGGGTGTCCTGGGAACTGGGGAGCTCTCTCCTGTGGCTTGAGTGGGTGAGGGTAGCGTGGAAAGGGGGCGGCACAGGGAGCTTCAGGGATGGAGAGGAGGCTGGGGCCGTGGGCCAGGTGAGAAGTTACCTGTGGGGCTGGTCAGGTGAGTCAGCTGTGGTGGTCTTGGTAGTGAGCAGGTGTTAGGCAACAGAAACGTCACTAAATGCTGGGCTTTCCGAAGGAAGACCCACTTGGAGCAGCTGGACATCCAGCCTCCCATGTTGACTCGACTGGGAAGCTGCTGTTGTGGGGAGGACCCTCCATCACCCCGAAACCCCCAGCTCAGGGTTTTTCAGACACGCCACCTCCACCTGGCACCCCCCATGTGTGTCTACCTCCAGGCAGGACGTGCCCTGAACATGCCTGTGCGTGAGGAGCTGGGGGTCTGCCAGCACGTGTGGCGGGGAGGATCCCGGGAGAAGCTCAGGGACCCGGGGCAGAGGAGGACCACTTGCATGTGGCAGGTGAGGCTGGCCCAGGGGCTGCAGGCCTAGGGGACGCCTGAGTGACACTAGTTACCCTCTAGCAGAAAGTGGGTTTGGGGAGCTCCCCATGGGCGGTCCCCTGATTTGGGACGTGCCGTTTGCCTTTTGACGTTTAACCATCATTCAAGACCTCTTGGTTAGAGCAGATCAGGTTGGGGTGGGGGCAGGCCCCCTGTGAAGGCAGGTGGGCTTCAAGAAGGAATGCCTGGGTGCTCAAAAGTAGGGGCGCCCTGCGGGGGCTGGGTCTGCCTCCCCTTAGACCCAGGCATGTGCTCAGCCCCTGTCCACCTGGCCGGCGCCCAGGGGCAGGCTCAGGCCCTGGCTGGGGGTGGTGTGAGGAAGGCGGGGACTGCTGCTGTGGACAGCGGGCTGGTGGGCAGGTCCACCCCGAGGAAGGGGCAGCCTGGGATTGGCCGAATGAGATGGGCTCCTCCACCCCCGGAACGCCATGGACGAGAGCTCATGGGGGCAGGCTCTGGGGGTAGGTACACTTGCGGGTAAGCACACCTTGGGGCAGGCACACTTGGAGGTGGGCACAGCTGGAGGGCGCCATGCCTGGAGATGGGCACACCTGGAGACCCCCACCCTCACTGCCAGGCCATCCAGGGCAGGGGGTGCCTTCTCGGAACTTGTTCTTTTCCGGAAAACGGGAGAAGTTAGGGCGCCCGTCCCGGCGGCGGTGCTGGGGGGTGGCTTCGTGTGCACTGGAGCTGCAGCCTGTCACACGGGGCTCTCGATCGACGCCGGGGAGCCTCACCACCAGCCACGCCCCAAGCCTGGAGCCCGGTCTCCCACCCCAGGGGCCCGTGTTCTCTGTCGGCAGAGCTCACAGGCACGGAGGCTTAGAAAAGCACACAGATTTATTGCATATCAATCTCATGTATAAATTCATTGTAGCATCGGAAAGATTACATTTGGTGTACAGTCCTAGTCTACAGCATGAACCTCAAAAATCAGCTTCTCCTAGGCTTCATCTTAAAGGGATTCCTCTACACAAGTACATTTGTCTTCCTCACAAGCATCGAAGTGAAACCAGCAGAATCCCTCTCGGATGACCCCCACGCCGCGTGTCTGTGTTCCGTTCTCCTCCCACTGCGGTCCCTGCGCCGGTTAAGCGGCGCGTCTTTGCCTCGGCAGTCCGCACGCCTGGCCTCAAGGACGCAGACCCTAATCACGTCTTCAGTAAGTGCATCTACGGGGTTCTCCTCTTCATCAAAGTTCCACAGACAGACACGATAATGACCGCTAAACACACGTCATGCACAGTTTACTCGTAACAGGAGCAATTTACAGTCGGGGGACACGGGACACACATCAGCCTCCTTCTCAATGTTTTTGTTTCTGTTTTTGAAAAACGTTATATGAAAACCAGACATTTACATTTGATTTCTTTTTCAGCGCTATACAGTTCTAAAAGAAAAAAACCAAAAACGAAACCAAATCTGCAATGGCGAAGGACGCCGCGGACGCTTGGGTTCGGAGTCTTACCAGCGTGTGTCGCCTGCACTTTCAGTGACATATTGTGACACGGGGCTCAGGGTCCCTGGTCTGGAAGAGACAGCGAGAACGCAGAATACACGGAAAGGACCTTTCGCGTTGCTTTGTTCACAAGTGAATTGCACATTTGGAAACTCAAGCTGCCTTTTCATTTTCATTTCTTTTCTTTTTTTTTCCAAAAGTGGTAATATGCATCAGTGACAGAAAAGAACAAAACAAAAGACACTGGAATGGCAGGAGGAAAGGAGCGCTCCTTGGAATAACGCGAGGACGCCTTAGTCACAGTATCGCTCGTCGCTACAGACAGTTTCATGGCTTTGAGACCCGGCTGACCTCCACCGACCAGGAGCAGCTGTGTCCTCGCGTCCCCAGCCGGGAGGGGAGCGAGGGGCCCGGCTCCCTGTCCATCCCCCCGGGGAAGCAGCACAGGGTGCTCTGCCCGGGGGCTCTGCCCCCTCGCCGCCCCCCACCCCCCCAAGACAGCACAGTGAATACAGCTCAGTAGGTTTCAGTCACTTGGGCAGGGGGATGGGGGCAGGGGGACAAGGGCAGGGGCGAGGGGCACCACAATCCAGTGCTTTGAGGCTTCGAGGCTGACACGAGTGATAAGTACTCAGGTAGGAGCTTTGCGGACGCTCACTGAGGAAGCAGCGGGGACAGAGGAGGCCACGGGCCCTCCGGTTCCCAGGCCAGGCTCTGGGGCCACAGAGCAGCTGGGCTGATCCGGGTCTGGACGGACTGGCTGCGTTCTTGGCCTTGTGCAGGAACGCCACGCGGGCTGGGCAGTCTCTTAGGGTCACCCCATCCACTGATCCACAACCCAGGGTCCCAGGTGGGATGTGGGACCGCACGCAGGAATCAGGGGCTCCTGGGTCCTAGTCGTGAAGGGCTGGCTGGCCCCGGGCCCTACTTGATTGTTCCTGTTCCGGGCATGAAAGCAGCAGGGGAGGGTGAGGGCCTGCAGGGGGCTAGGGGCTACAGGGTGAGAGGGGAGGGTGAGGGCCTGCAGGGGCTGGGGGCTGCAGGGCGGGAGGGGAGGGTGAGGGCCTGCAGGGGCTGGGGGCTGCAGGGCGGGAGGGGAGGGTGAGGCGGCCTCCTTTTGAATTTCTACTTGGGGGTAACTGTCAACAATCCAAAGAAGGACACAGTCATGGCTGGACCGAAGGGCCCCGGCCCTGGGCAAACCTGGCCCAGTGGGAGCCTTGGTCTAGAGTCCTGACTCTGGCCCCACCCAGGGACACAGTGGGCGGCCAGACAGCCATCTGTTGCATCCACCCTCTGAAGCCGGAATCACAGGAGTCTCCAGCCCCACCCAGTCCCCCGGCTGATGCTGGAGCCTGGGGGCAGAGAGGGACCAGGAGGGCGGCTGGTCGGGCAACGCTAAGCTCTGAGGCAAAGCTTCGCGGATGCACCAGGCAAAGGAAGTAACGTCTCTTTGTCGGGGGTCCCAGGACAGACCCTGCCCAAACCTGCCGGTGCTGGGCCGGGGGCCGCTGGGCCTGCGCTAATCACCTGGGGGCAAACACAGGACTTAAAATGTGCAGCCGAGGTTCTTGGGGAAGGGGAAGGAAGGAAGGAGAGAGAGGAGGTCACGTTCAGGAAGATGGGCTGGAAAGGACCGGCCGTGAGGCCAACAGAGAAACCCGAGGTGGACGGAAGCGCCGACTGCAGGGAGCAGACACTCGGGCCTCCGCTGGCCCGAACGTTCCGTTTTGGACAGAGTCATGTCGCAAAAGAAGCACACGCCTTACTCTTGAGCAGAAGAAGCATATAATTTGGGGGTACAGAATGGGGGTTCGGTGTCCGAGGTGGGCTTTTCAAAGGGGTCCCAGCCCCATCAAGGGGGAACTAGGGATTCGCACACACCAGGCGGGTCCGGCCGGGGCGGGGAGGGCCGAGGACGCTTCTGGGGAGGTGTGAGCAGCTGTGTTTGCGAATCCTCACGGGGGCGGCCCCGCGGCCAGCTTCTCCGCAAGCAGCTTCTCCCGCCACCCCGGGGGCGACTTTCCAGCCTGCGCCCAGGCGCACGGGGCTCTCAGTCTGTTCCCTTGACTGGATCTGGGGAAGGCCGAAGCTCTCCCCCCGGGCTCCGCAGGTCTGTGCCTGCTGCCCTCCGGGACCTCCCACCGCAGGTCTCCGCAAGGAGCCTGACCTCCCCGGGCCCAGGTGGACGATTGTCTTGGCCCTGCGGAGCGACCGGACGCGCGGCTGCACCACAGCCGTTTGAGTTTTCACGCTTTTTTCAAGGGCAACTTGGGCAAATCTTTTTCTATTCTTGGGACGCCCTTCTGTTTCTTGCAAACGTTAAAAGAAATAAATAGAACACTTGTCTTCAATGCAAATGCAACTGAAACTCAAATTTAACAAAAACACGTGATTGTCTGGAAAACGGGCGGCAGGGGCGGCAGGTTTCGCTGCGGGGGCACGCGGGGTATTTGGCACATTAAAGTTGCCCCGCCCCCTGGTTACGGATCACACAGCACACAACCTTATTACAGGGGTTTGGTCCTTCGCTAGATCCTTATATTAACATTTCTTCACAATAAGAATGTCTAATGCCAAAATACTGTTAAGGAAAAAATAAAATAAGAAAAGAAATGAATTAGAAAAAATTACAAGTTATATACAGATTAAGGTAAATTCCATCAGGGAAAAAACACTACTCTTCGAAGCTGGCCCCTAGGGGAATAATTTAAAGCCCATCCGAGTGGAGAAGCAGCCGGTCCCCGGGGAGGCGCCGTCCCCACGGTGCTGCGCTGTCCTTGCTCTCTGTGGCGGGTCGTGTCTGGATGCCCTTCGTTCTGGAGCCGGGTCCCGCCCGCCAGGAACCCACACAAGAAGCGAGGCGGCAGTCGTGTCCCGGAGCCAGGGTCTCAGGTGCACGCAGAGATCGGCTGCCTGGAGCAGGGGAGCCACGGCGTGCGCCCCGCAGCGGCCCCCCCCACACCCACTTCCTTCCGCCGTCTGTCTGGTGGGGGTGGGGGAGGGCAGGGGTGCAGATCCGAAAGTGGTGGCAGGCTCCGCGGTACCGACCCCTCTGCCCTGGGCACCGAGCCCCCACTCTGACCTTCCCCAGACAATTGGGGGGTCTTGGTGGGGGCCGCGGGCACGAACCACGTGTCACACACTGACAGGCACATCTCCGAGCCCCAGCCTCGGACCGGCCCAGCACACCCTACCCAAGATTTCCGGGCACAGTCTGAACCCGCTCCCAGGAGTGGGCCCGCCCCCTCGGTGCTGCCTGGGGGCGCCCCGCTCTCCTTGGCTTTACAAACAGGGTCGGGGATAGAAAATGTCTCCATCACCTACAAAGAACACCTCCCAACACTGTGCTGCTTCCCGGGCAGGTCTGGGTCTGCAAATAAGCTGAGATTTCAAAGCAAGGCAAAATTACTTTTAAAAAACAATTTCCAAGTCACTTTGTGATTTTTTTCTTTTAAAAATACTGTCTATTTTTAAAACCACATGCTTAAATAAACTCTGTCGTCAATAAGATTACCAAAAGGGTCTTTCTGGTCATTTCACTATAAAAACCGCCTGGCGACTCCCTCTGCAGAGCACACCCAGCTGCCCCTTCCCTCCCGGGACTCCACGCAGGCGCCCGGGTGGCCGCTGGCTTCAGTTCGGGACTCGGATCCCGCCCTCGCCCCTGGGTGGACTCCACGAGCAGCTCCCCTGCGCTGAGCCCCGATGGGCCTGTGCTGTGCCACCTTGGACGCCGCTGTCCTCAGCGCCAGTTCCTGGAGAAGCTGAAGCCTTCCAAGGATGTCCAGGTTCTGGGTTTTCACTGGAGAAATTCGAGCTGAACTGTGGTGGGGGGACAGGTGCTGAGGAGTGGCCACTCGGCCCCGGGCCGCACCGGCTCCCAGGCCCTCGCCTCCATCTTCCACAGCTGGGATTCCTGTTGGGATGTTGGGGGCCCGTGGTGGCCTCGCCTGGACTCTGACCCCAGCCCCTTCTGGGTCGGTCAGAGGTGGTTGATGGGGTTAAAGGCTCCAGACTCTGGCGTGGCTCCTGTGATGTTCAGCCAAGCGTCCAGAGGGCTCTGGGAGGAGGCGTGGAGAGACGTGTCCTCCGAGAGCGACAGCATCATTGCGTACGCCTGGCGGGAGAGGACGAGGGCGCAGACAGGACAGGCTGTGAGTGGCGTGGGCCAGGGCCCTGCAGGCCCAGGCTGCTGCATCCTCGCCCCTCCCGACCTCCCACGCCCTCCGACTGGCCTCAGATCCAGACGTGCGGCGAGGGCAGGGCGCGGGGCCGGCCCGCAGAGGAGGCATTGGCGGTGGGAGCGCCGGGCGAAAGCAGGACCTCCGCTGGGCCCCCGTGCAGAGGGCGCCAAGACGCCCGGATGGCCAGGGACCTTGTGCGAGGGCTCCCACAGCCTCTCGGGGCCACACCCTCCTTTGCAGAAACTTCCCCACCCCCGTCATCAGCACGGATTCCCCCTGCTCTTTGGAGGTACTGGGGACTGCTGGACCCCCGTCAGCGAGGCTCAGGCCCTGCCTGGTGGGGCCTGTCCCGCTTGGACTACCACAGCGACAGCACAGAGCTATTTCGGGGAAGCCGCCTGGAGCCCGGCTTCGTCCGCAGGGTGTGAGTGGACGGAACGCGGCCGCTCAGAGCAGGCAGGGGCAGATGAAGCCCCCCCGCGTTAACACTCCGGACACGATTAGTAAGAAGACAAAGACAAACACGCAGACGGTTTCGCTGAGACTCGGGTGGGCTGCAGGTGGCCGAGTGAAACCCCCGCCCCCCCGACTGGGGACACGCAGGAGGCAGGTCCTGCGGAACCTACACCGAGGAGCCGGGGTGAGACGTGCCGGGCCAGCCCATTGCCCCGCCGACCCCCTCGCAGCTCCTGCTTGGAATCGGTGGCCCCGGACGGGGCAGCATCCCTCAGGAAACCCCTGGCCTGCCATCACTCTTGCTCGGGTCAGAGGTGGAGGGAGGCCGATGCAGGACACCTGCTGGCGGGCACCTCCCGCCGGGGGCGTGAGGACAGTGACCCACGTGTCCGTGAACACTGCGGTGGGGGGGGGCTCCCAGGTGAGGGTCCGGCTCATACTCATCTGCCCTCGTCCTCTATCTGCCCTGCCCGTTTGCGGGACACTGGGGTCACTTGGGGTCTCTCTAGCTGATGCGATGGGCACAGGAGGGCCACGGTGGGTCCTGGGCGTCCCCCAGGCAGGCACGGGACGGCCACAGTGAGAAGCGGGCTGTCCCTGGTGGAGGAGGCGCGGCTGGCGCCTGCCGTCCAGCCTGGGAAAGGGGATGGGGGTGGGCTCTGGTGGATACCTACCTGGTTCTTAGCCTGCCTGTACAGGGTCTGTTTTAAAGCCTCAGAATCTAGAGTGGAATTAAGCACATCTTTAACTTCAAATGCTTCCTCAGCTGCTCTGCGGAGATCCAGCCCCTTCCCAAAAGTCGGCATCGGCTCCAAAGCTAACAGGCCGCCTGGTGGCTCCTCAGCACACCTGCACCAAGGACCGGGGGGGGCCTGCCGTTAGCTGGCCTGGCCTCTGGCCACCTCTCCGACGCCCCACGGCTGGCTCTGTGCCTGCATGCATGCCACAGCATCTCCGAGAGCCACATGCACAGGGAGACAGACACACGGACACACGGACACCTGGACAGAAGTCACACGATGCAGGAGCCACAGATGGAGGGCAGGAGGAGGTGAGTGCGTGCACACACACTGCAAGCGGCAGGCAGGGCACCCGGCTCTCCGGGGACGGAGGATGGGAGGAGGGCCTCGGGTCCCCAGAATCTGGGTGGCTCTGGAGGAGCCCGGGGCTCCCTCTCCCAGGACCCATGGGTGCGAGGAAGCGGACCATCTCCGAAGGGCCTCCTGGATCTATGCCCACCCCCTCCCGCAGGGGGATGCTGGTAGCATCACTGGTGCCAGAGGTAGGCGGCGAGCAGTCAGGACATGAAGGAAGAGGCTCTGGCCCACCGACCCCCAAAACTAGGGGTGGCTCAGCCCCTACCCCACACAGCCTGCAGGAGGCCAGAGGTCACAGCCCTGGCCTGACAGGCAGGTCTTCCGCAGGGGCTGCGGGTCTAGGACCAGCGCCCTCTCAGGCTTCCCCTCCCCGGCTCTGCTTCCAGGCCTGGGTAAGTGTGCACGCGTGTGCACGTGTGTGTGAGAGTGTCGGGGGCTGGAGCCCTGCCCCTCTCCTCGGGCCTGGCCTCACCCTGGCCGCACACAGAGGTCCCTGCG